TTATCGGGAGTATGTACTATCAAACTTTGTTATTATCACCTGCTAGAAAATGCAGAGAGATGTTTTGCTTTGAAATTTTGTCACATGGTTGTTCAGCACCTACCTATTCATGTTTGTTTATGTCCAAGTGTTTTTCACTTTTTAGGGGCAGCTGTTAATTCACATTGACGGCGTATTGTGGGCATAACTTCATTATTTGATATATATAGAAACACAGGCACCACAATAATACTATTTATCTTAATTTTGCTCATTCTTGTGCTGGTCTGTCCATTGTGGGTTCGTTCTGTTGTCCTTGTTGTCCCCCTGTTGGCATCTGTGGACCTCCTGGGGAGTCTGACGTCACTTCCGGTATGTCACCGGAAGTGTGCCATGAGTATGGTAGAATGCCCTGCCGTTAGTCTGCTTTGTTTGTCAGACTTTGGATGGTGCAAGGTTTTTGTCCCTGTCTCTCTATAAAGATAGGTGACTCCTGCTTATGTTTTGAGGTGCCATCTTATATGGTTTGTGGCAATCTTGTTGGTCACAGTGGAAAGCAGAGGCAAGTCTCCCCTAAGAGTAAGTTTTGATCACATCTTTATGGGGCAGGTTTGGAGTTGATCTTTTATGAGTTTAATTATTACACTTCAACGTCCAGGTATCCATTTGTGTTTGATTCTAGGGATTTATACCTTTTTACAGATAGATTTTATGGGCTTTCTATATACCTCTGTTGGGTGTTTATAGTGTTTTTTCTTTTCTTCTCTTTTTTGAGTTTATTAGGTCCCTTTGATAGCTTGTATCTTTTGGCTTTTACATCCAATAGGATCGATAAACAGGGTGACCACCTTGATCCAGCATGGCACCTTTTTTTTGTCTGATGTGAGTTTCTCCATTAGTGCTATATTCTTGTTCCTCTTGAGGTAAACATAGGTGGTGTTTTGTTTTGGTTTTTTTGTGCACTCTTTTTTGCTTTCATGTATATTGTTATGTTTTTTTTGTTTTGTTTTTATATAAATATCCCATCTGGGGGTGATATACATTTTCTACTATGCTTTTGGTTTTGTAATATTATATGTTTTTTTGTCAGCTCTCATACGTTATACTAAAGACAAGAAAGTTGATCCTGATGAAGCTCGTTGTCCAACAAATCTGATGATTTACTTGTCTTCTCCACTAGACTGAATAATATACACTCACAGGACAATTTTTTTCAGCAGTGTATATATATATATATATATATATATATATATATATATATATATATGTACTGTATGTACACTCTCTGACCACTTTATTAGGTACACCTGTTCAATTGCTTGGTAACACAGATTGCTAATCAGCCAATCACATTGCAGCAACTCAATACATTTAATCATCTAGACGTGGTGAAGATGACTTGCTGAAGTTCAAACCAAGCATCAGAATGGGGAAGAAAAAAGGGGTTTCAGTGACTTTGAACATTGAATGGTTGTTGGTGCCAGGTGGGCTAGTCTGAGTATTTCAAAAACTGCTGATCTACTGGGATTTTCAGGCACAACCATCTTTAGGATTTACAGAGAATGGTCCGAAAAAAGAGAAAATATCCAGTGAGTGGCAGTTGTCTTTTTGGTGTCAGAGGAGAATGGGCAGACTGGTTAGAGTTGATAAAAAGGCAACAGTAACTCATGTCAAGATGGACCAATATCTCTGAGGAATGTTTCCAACACCTTGTTGAATCTATGCCATGAAGAATTAAGGCAGTTCCAAAGGCAAAAGGGGGTCCAACCCAATACTAGCAAGTGGCTGGTGAGTGTATGTATTCCACTTTGTTGTTTTCTGAATAACAGTGGACATGATGTGGTTTTTAAAACATGAATTTTAATGTGCTAATAAAAATTTATATTTTTTATATAATTTTGCTTTCATATACAATTTTTGGTTTTGTGTCACATATATATCCCCTCATCCCATTGTCCAACTTTTGGTATGATGGGATTTTCCTATTTAATGGTGTAATTACAGTGAGGAACATACGTATTTGAACACCCTGCGATTTTGCACGTTCTCCCACTTAGAAATCATGGAGGGGTCTGAAATTCACATTGTAGGTGCATGCCCACTCTGAGAGACAGAATTTAAAAACAAAAATTCAGGAAATCACATTGTATGATTTTTAAAGAATTTATTTGTCTTGAACTGCTGAATATAAGTATTTGAACACCTGAGAAAATCAGTGTTAACATTTGGTACAGAAGCCTTTGTTTGCAATTACAGAGGTCAAACGTTTCCTGTAGTTCTTGACCAGGTTTGCACACACTGCAACAGGGATTTTGGCCCACTCCTCCACACAGATCTCCTCTAGATCTGTCAGGTTTCGGGGCTGTCGCTGAGCAACACAGAGTTTCACCTCCCTCCAAAGATGTTCTATTGGATTTAGGTCTGGAGACTGGCTAGGCCACTCCAGAACCTTGATATGCTTCTTACAGAGCCACTCCTTGGTTATCCTGGCTGTGTGCTTCGGGTCGTTGTCATGTTGGAAGACCCAGCCACGACCCATCTTCAATGCTCTGACTGAGGGAAGGAGGTTGTTGCTCAAAATCTCACAATAAATGGCCCCATTTATTGCAGTCGTCCTGTCCCCTTCGCAGAAAAGCACCCCCCCAAAGCAGGATGTTACCACCCCCATGCTTCACAGTAGGGATGGTGTTCTTGGGATGCAACTCATCCTTCTTTTTCCTCCAAATAGGACGAGTGAAGTTTAGACCAAAAAGTTCTACTTTGGTCTCATCTGACCACATGACTTTCTCCCATGCCTCCTCTGGATCATCCAGATGGTCACTGACAAACTTCAGACGGGCCTGGACATGTGATGACTTGAGCAGGGGAACCTTCCGTGCAATGCATGATTTGAAACCATGACGGCGTAGTGTTCTACCGACAGTGACCTTTGAAACTGTGGTCCCAGCTCTCTTCATGTCATTGACCAGCTCCTCCCTTGTAGTTCTGGGCTGATTCCTCACCTTTCTTATCATCAGTGATTCCCCACGAGGTGAGATCTTGCATGGAGCCCCAGTCCGAGGGAGACTGACAGTCGTCTTTAGCCTCTTCCATTTTCTAACAATTGCTCCAACAGTTGATCTACTTTCACCAAGCTGCTTGGCAATTGCCCCGTAGCCCTTTCCAGCCTTGTGGAGGTCCACAATTTTGTTTCTGGTGTCTTTTGACAGCTCTTTTGTCTTGTTCATGGTAGTAGTTGGCATTTTACTGACTGTGGGGTGGACAGGTGTCTTTAAAGAGCTCAGACAGGTGCTACTAAGTTAGATTAATGAGTGGAGTAGAGGTGGTCTTTTTGAAGGCACAGTAACAGGTCTTTGAGAGCCAGAATTCTTGCTGTTTCTTAGGTGTTCAAATACTTATGTTCAGCAGTGCAAGACAAATAAATTCTTTAAAAATCATACAATGTGATTTCCTGAATTTTTTTTTTACAATTCTGTCTCTCAGAGTGGGAATGCACCTACAATGAGAATTTCAGACCCCTCCATGATTTCTAAGTGGGAGAACTTGCAAAATCACAGGGTGTTCAAATACATCAGTTCCTCACTGTATATCTATGGGGAAGGTGCCAGTTTAATTATTACACTAAGTCCTCCATACTGCTTGCATGCTTAGAAAAATACATTCCTATATGTGTATCACCTGTGACAATCCATCTACATAGGAGTGAAATAATGGGAACTCAAGAAAAGTCTACCTGATATTAGAAACAAACATTTTTCAATGTTTGGAATAAGAGGTTAGGGAAAGGGAAGCATCTATTTACTGTTTGGGTGCTGCATCAGAACTATGACAGCAGAAAGGCCATAAAATGACACCTCAGTGATCCAGGCAAGAAAAAGCAGACCTTTCATCAAGTGAGCTAGCGCATTAACAGACTATAGCAATGTATAAAGAATTCCAACATAGACGCATTAGCCAAAGTAAACAAGGTTGGTTTTCTGGGCTTCTAAAACCTGCTGCCAATGCTTGTCTTGTCTGAGGTCTGCATTCTTATTTAGTGCAAGTGTTAGAAAGGGCATAGAGGGATTTACAGCATTCTTTAGGATAATTTTAGTTCCACCATACAACCTGTAGATCACAGAATCACAGTAACCTTATGCATTGTCATTAGATGCAGCATCAAAGGTTTTTTTGACCTCAAAGGAGTACAGCATTTTTATTATTATTATACAGGATTTATATAGCTCCAATAGTTTTTTGCAGCACTTTACAAAATCAATGTAGACATTACAGTTACAATACAATTTGGTACAAGAAGAAACAAAGGGCCCTGCCCATTAGAGCTTACAATCTAGGAGGAAGGGTTGAATGATACAAAAGATAAAAAGATAATAGCTGTGGGGGAAGAGCTGATGGATGGAATAAAAGGAGGTTTATTAATTAGAAGCAGGATAGGCTTCTTTAAAGAAGCGGGCATTCCAAAGGGCACAGGAAAAGGAGAGGCTGGTTCTAGGAAGAAGAGGAATAGTAACCAGATTGTGTGAATTGGGGGTGCTGTTAGAGGATAGGGTGTGCCGGGTGTGCTGGTCAAAGGAAAAGGATGGCGGCCCAGGATTTGGGGAAATGTCTCCAGATGTTAGGAGAAGCAGAAGGGAGAGAGAGGTAATATGGGAGTATGACTTATATGGAGGGACAGGTCCCAGTTTCCTGGAGGTTTTATTAGTATGTGGGTTCAGAATTAGCAGGAGTTGATGAATATAGTAATAAGGTGAAGACAAAAGTGAGGGTGATATATATAAGTTGTGGGGTGGAGAAGAGGGGTGAAGGAGAGAGAGTTTGAAGAGAGGATACAACTATGAGAAGGAGGAGTAGGGAGAGCATGTTACAGAGTGGTGAGATGAAGAAGACTGGGTAAGAGCTGAAAGAGCTGGATGGGGAAACAGGTCATCTGTAGTCTGATTAGTATTTGAAGTTGTGCTGTTTCTCGCTTTGTGCTTTTGCTGAAGTGCAGAGCCAAAGTGCAATGCTCAATACTTAATCCAAGATTAATACTTTATCCAAGATGATAGTTGCCAATGCTGCCCCTGGCTGTGCCTCCCCTAAGGAAGGCCTATATTTATATTGAGTTGGGTGGGTGTATTGCCAATTAATCAATTAGGAATGCATAGGAGAGGACACATGGCTAGCAGGGCAAACTTCTCACACTAAAGTAGGACTACAAGAGACAATGAGAGAGCAGGAGGGTAGAGTTGTAAAGATCAGGATCAGCTCATAAATTTGGGTTACACAATAAGAGCAAATTAAACACCACAGTAATATGGACCAGAGTTAAAGATTTTGGAAGCAGTTAGAATTACCAGTAAGATCATAGGTAGTTATGAATCAGCTTCAGTTAGAGGTGAATTTTAAAAGCAATATAGATTACAATATAGCAGTGCAGGGTAAATTAGCATTCATACATGGCATTGGTGATAGTACAGACGGATATTGCTCACAGACATTTACCTGTGACAGGATAGAGAAGAGTTATTCAGATGATGCAAAGCTGAAGTGCAATACTCAATACTTAATCCAAGATGATAGTTTCCAATGCTACCCATGACTGTGCTGCCCCTGGCATTATAGTCACTATTCATCTACAAGTTGAATATGCAGTTCCGTTTTAAACACCAGTTTGCAAAGGAGATACTGTGAGCCTGGAAGCAGTACAGAGAAGGGAAAAACCATGTATAAGAGGCAGGGAACATGAACACATTCTTTTATAAAAAGAAGAATAGAGTTATCAGCTTTGGAGTCTAAAGAGGAACTATTAGGACTATGATGTCATTTGTTGAAGGTAGTGATGGTTCCCTCAGGCAGATACTGTAGGCCATTTAGTATTAGGACAGGCACATGAGGATTTGTGTAATAGGTGCCCATTTCCAAGAAAGATTCACAAATAGTAGATTTGCCAAGAATAATAACAATGGCTGTAAATTGCACAGGCAGGTTTTACCATACCGCTAATTGGTAAACATATTTTTCAGTGACAAAATATCCTTATCTGGTGCCTTTCTTAGTATTACGATACAGCTTTAGGGTAGATTCAGACATTCAGATGAGAGAGGGTTGTAGCGTCACACTGTTTTAAATAAAACTTTTCAGATAACAGTAAACCTTAAAGTACAGGGTGCTGTTTGTAGATTTTTGAAAATGTCACAACACCCTGACTTAATACTTGAAGAAGAAGAAAGAAATAGAGGTTTTGCAAATATCAAAATTTATTGATGGGTGGATATCAGAGTAAACATGACAACACACTCCCCAACTACTGTGTGAAGTACTAATACAGAGTTCTTCTGAAGCATTGTGCCACGTATCACTATACACTATGACTTACACCAGTCTAGCATACCTCTGTTACCATATTCCCAGTAACATAATGAGGTCCCGTCGAGCACATAGCACGGACCTGATGCAAGCTCACTGTTAACTCCTTAGCTTACCATACCCTGTGGCCAGGACATGGATCTCTGTAATGCTTGCTGGTCTGCTCCTGGTTGCTAAAATAGATGGACCATTCAGGAGGGAGCCAAATTACGACCCCCCTCGCTTCCGGAGGACCTACCACCTTATCAGGCACCCTGCCTAAGACTTATTGCTCTGTGTCTTAATCTTGAACTTGGCTACTCTTCGGTAACTTCAGACCAGGATCAAAACAGTTAATATAACTTCAATGAACTTCAACATCACAGTTCAATATGAAAAAGTCCAATCCTAACCCTAACTACAGTAAGTGGAGGCCCAGGCATATAAGGTGATAGTCTAGCTGTGATAAACATTTCCACAACGTTCGTGGGACATATAAAATCAATAACACAATATTTTAATTCCACATTTAACGCTCACCCCTGGAGGGGCCACTGAGAATATGCCCAGATCTCCCTTGTTAGCACAGAGGCTGCCAGTCACAAGCACTGTTCCATACACACAGACAATGCAGGCTCAGTCTAGGGGATGTCTTTTTAGAATTTATTGCTGTATAACTTGAACAGGAGAGGGGTTTAGGGATCAAGATACTCCAAATGATAGCAGAAACAACTGAAGGACAGCTTCTCACTAATCTTGTCTAAGCAGCCTTTCCTGGAGGTAACAAGGAATGGCCAGTGTAGCGCTTACCTCCAAAGGAACCGCTGGAAATGTACCTAGGTTCTTCCACAGTGGCTTGCCCCACAGACAGGCACACATACACAGTCACTCTTTTCCTCAATAAGCAGTCTAGGGGTATTGTTTTTATTTTTGGGGAACTTGGATAGGGTTGAGGGAAGTGAGTGGAATACTCTAAAAAAAATATGTACTGTACATGTTGAGGACAATGATCTCCTTTCTATAAAGCTGAAGCAGAAGTCCTTGCAAATAGCAAACTGTGGACTTGGTTTGTAGTAGAAACAGGTAAATGCTGAGCTGAAGCAAAAGTCCTTGCATATAGCAAACAGCGGACTTGGCTTTGTAATAGAAGCAGTTAACAGCACACATGCTTTTTCCTTTAGAGCAGCAAGAGCCGTGTCCTTTCACAGAGAACCAGATAGACTATGGTCTTCAGAATACCAGTCAATGTTCCCTTTAGCCCAGCCTTTCTCAACCTTTTTAACACAGAGGAACCCTTGAAATTATTTTTTGGTCTCGGGGAACCCCTGCTAAAAATTACTGAATCTTCAGCTCATGATACAGTTGTGTGATGGTCAGTGGGAAGTATGTTGCTTACATTTGTGGTCATTGAAAATAATTACTCCCTTATAGATAGCTAAAAATATCAATGGTGTCAACGGGAACCTATCTGAGAGGCGGATAGTGCTCATTGCTCAAGGAACCCCTAGCAACCTCTGGAGGAACCCTGGTTGACAAACCCTGCTTTAGACAAACACACAGCTGACTCTCTAGCACAAGAGGGGTGGCAGCAGCCCAAAACGTTCTAACATGTCTCACAGCTGTTGGTACTCACAAATGTCCAAGGACAGTTAGTTGCCTCCTTCTAACTTCCAACTGACACCTCTCTCCTGTGATAACAGACTAGATCTTCAGCAGACAGCCCAGACCCTCAGGTCACCCAACTGAGGCCTCACGAACAGCAAACTCATGTTAGCACCACACTGGAGGGCAGCAGCCTTTCAGGCTGGACTGATCCTCAGCAGGAAAAGACCCTGAAGCACAGTCCTTTCAGAGTATTTTTGCAGATACCCTGAAGTCTTCAGGGCCCTGATCCCTGGTATTGTCCAGGGTTGCATAAATATTCATACTGCCATCTGCATAGCTCCACACCTATATTCCAGAGACTTCTACCACTCTCTGGAAGCAGAGGGAGCTTTTAGACCAGTAGCAGCTGAAAACACTAAACTGACCTAATTAATCAGCTGCACTGGATACAGTGGGCACAGCTAGATTTGTCTAACACACTAATTACAGCCACACTGGAAAAACAAAAACACACCAAGCTTCACTGATCTAACTTTTCTTAGCACCTATGTAGAAGGGTGTTAAACCAGTATATCTGGGAATCGATAAGAGCACTTCCAGTCCATATCAAATATTCTGATACTAAGTTCCATTCTAGCACTTGCACACCCAAGAGTCCACAGCAAGGTATTTACTCACAATGTCTCAAGAGCTGCCTGCCACCCAGCATCCATGAGTAGTTCCTCAGTGACAGAGACAAAAGATCTTTCTCTAGACCAGAACTTCAGGATGATGCCCCCAACAAAAATCCATCAGTAATCCTCTCCAGCCCAGCACCTTCTGAGGCTTAGACTGAAGTTTTTTGTATCACTAGCTGTATCCCAGGGGCAGACAGCCCAGGAGAACTGGAACCCTCCTAAGAAAGGAAAGAACTTTCTGGAAAGGCCCCCAAACATTTATCACCTCTCCAGACACTTCTGAATGCCTCCTTCCATGGGTTGGCTGGGCATGATAAATAGTCATACTGAACATTTGACTCCCACTCCCCTATATTCTGGAAGCTTGTTCCAGAAATAGGTGGTAGAAATCAAACACCCAGCTAGGAAATCCTAACCAGACAAAAACAATTAACTACTGCTCCAATGACTGCAGTAAAGCCAAAAACTAAATTTAACCTAGCACCCTATCGAGAAGAGGGTGCTACGCACAGGTCCTGTGCTTCCAGATAATGTACAGTTTGTGAAATCTTATTAAATTTCAGAGCTGAAAATGAAAAACTGTAAAAAGAGCAAAAAAAATAAAATAACACCAAAACTGGTGTGGTCACTGGAAGTGAAAAATGGGAAGCCTGGCAGCGAAAAGGGTAAATTAACAGTTTTCTCAAAGCACTCGTCCATATTTGCGGTCATCCATCTTCCGCCTTTAGATTCATCTATGTCTTCATTATTTTTTTCTGTCTGTCTAAAGCACATTGTTTATTAAGAACTCTAGTTAGACAGGAAAAGCCATCAGTGTCAGTCTTCCTTAGATATATGTAAAACTGACTTTGGAGATTATACCAGAGGGATTGCTTGTTTTAGAATGTACACACAACAATTCTTTCCCAATGGCTCAACTAAGTCCATTAGTCACTTTAAATATTGGGGATTACGGCAAAGCCATTCATCACACCAACATAGTCAACAGGGAGCTTGTCTTCCTTGGGTCCTGTAAATATGAAAAAAGCTACACGTCATGAAATATTAATGTAGCCCGACATGCACTACAGCAGCTCTCTCTACCTTACCTTATGCTTCTGCAGGAGCTGGAAT